ACTAAAGTCTTGTTTTCCTTTCTTAAAAATAAGAAACAGGTCTATACTTACCTGCTCTGTGCAGTGGTTTTGCACAGAGCAGCCCGGATCCTCCTCTTCTCGAGTCCCTCGCCGGTGCTCCTGAAACCTCCCTCCTGTCGGGTGCCCCAGTAGCAAATAGCTTGCTATGGCTGTCACATCATGCAGCGATCTAAAAAATTCAAGAACAGATTAGTAAATGAATTGACATGTATCAGTCTGAAAAAGGTTACAAAGCAATCTCTAAGACGTTTGGACTCCAGCAAACCACGGTGAGAGCCGTTATGCACAATGGAGAAAACAGTGATGAATCTTCCCAGGATTGGCCGACCTACCAAAATCACTCCAAGAGTACAATGACGACATATCAAGGAGGTCATAAAACAACCCAGATCATCATCTAAAGAACTGCAGGCCTCACTTGCTCAGTTAAGGCCAGTGTTCATGATTCAACAATAAGAAAGATCCTTGGCAAAAATGGCACTTATGAGTTCCAAGGCGAAAGCCACTGTTGACCAAAAAAAGCACTAAGAACATTTGCCAAAAAAATCTTGATTATCCCTAAGACTTTGGGGCAAACATTCTGTGGACTGATGAGACAAAAGTTTAACTTTTTGGAAAGTGTGCCTCCTCTTACATCTGGCATAAAACTAACATAGCATTTTATAAAAAGAACATCATGCCAATAGTCAAACATGGCAGTGGTAGTGTAATGGTTTAGGGCTGCCTTGCAGCTTCAGGACCTGGATGACTTACCATAATTAATGGAACCATGAATTCTGTGCTCTACCAAAAAATCCTGAAGGTGAATGTCCTGCAATCAGTTTGTGACCTCAAGTTCAAGCGCACTTGGGTTATGCTAATGAAACATTTATTTGTATTCATTCTTTTTATTCGGATGACATGATGCAATAGATTGGCCCTTCTGTTAATATCTGAACCATCGAAAATAACATAAGAATTTAACAAATAATCTGGATTGGTTTGGATCCAGTTCCTTTTTATTTTACATGAAAACATTAAAACGTTTTTTATTAGTATATAAATTCGCTACATATGAAATGCAAACATATTGCAATAAATACAGTAAGGTGTGAAAGTGAAATAAAATTATTCCAACTTATTGTGTTTGGGTTGCATGGAGGTAGAGCCATCAAAATCTCTGAATCATAACATAACAAATGACTTATATTAATTTTATTCCATTCGTTACTCCAGTAAATATCGTCCTATCAGCTCATTCCATTTCTCTTTTGGAGTAATTATAGTACTATAATAAACAGTAAGGTATAAAAGTGAAATACAGTATTTCCTACTTATTGTGTTTGTGTTGGATGGAGGTGGATCCATCAGAATCTCTAGATCATAAAATAACAAATGAATCCAAAATTAATTTAATTGCATTTGTTACTTTCGGTACCCCCATTCAATATTGTCCAATCAGCTCATTCCATTTCTCTTTGTGGGTTGAACTATCAGGTATAATTCATAAGTAATCTCCCAAAATAAATTAGCACGTTAAAGCGAATATAGCCAATCCTCTGATATAACTTACAAAAATATGAATCAATTCAGAACAATGAATATACAAAACAAATCCGAATATACGAAACCCGTAAACAAATTCTAGATTGTAAGCTCCAAGGAGCAGGGCCCTCCTATCCCTCTTGTATTGAACTGTATTGTTGCTGTATTGTCTCCCTTTATATTGTAAAGCGCTGAGGAAACTGTTGATGCTATATAAATCCTGCATAATAATAATAAATCACTCTAACATAATGAATACGACAAAATTAAATGATTTACCGGTACTTAACAAATTAATCAGAAACCATAGGAAATGAATTTTTTTTGTCATGCACATCTCTAATGTCAAGACATGTTGCACAATCCACACAGAAATATCCACTGAAGTTAAGATCTATGATCTACTGAAATTAAACAGCTTTAAATTATAAAATAACTCCTTTGTATTTAATTAAACAAAGTTAATTTGCAAACATCATGAAACCTTTTGTGCCGGGGTCCAATCTTCCCCTATTCAGGCTAACTGGCATATATTACACACAGCAAAATAGTGGAGTTTCAAATGCATCTTGATTTTTTTTATTTTAATCTAAGTTAGATCTGTTCAGCTGTTACATGCTGTGGAGTAAAAAGGGCAAATCTCTGTAAGGGTAGATGTCAGTAAGGCGGAATATAAAAATCAGAGGATAGTTGGACATGCAGGCATAATGCAACAGTCTGAAATTGACTTTCTGTAGAGCAGAAAAGGGCAAATCTTTGTAAGGCTAGATGTCAGTAAACCTGAGTCTAAAAATCATAGGAGAGTTGGATATCCCAACACAATGCAACAGTCTGAGGATGATCTTTGGTTTATCTTGAGGCATGACCATGAATGCTCAGGTGACCTCTCAGCTCCACATGGCTGTTCAGCTGTAGAGCATAGAGGAGGGAGAAACATCTCTGGCACCAGTTATCTCAGGGGAATCAAAGACAAATGAACCAGATTTTCCAACCTGTCTGATCGCTTTTCCTCTAGAGGTGTTCCATCCAGTAGTATCTGAAAGTACGCCTAGACATGGATTGATATCACCCAGTGAGGATGAAATTTCCTGTGTTAGGCAACAACCTTCTCATGTCTACAACTATCTTCAGAGGCATGAAGGTCCAATTAAATAATGTTCTTTAAAGAGCTATTTCACACAAGTGAAATACATATATGATATAAAGCCTACTCCAGGTCTATCCATACAGCCAGCCCAGAAGAAAAAGGGAAGATCATGATTTACTAAAGACAAATACGCTGTACACATTTAAAGGGAAGTTTGCAAGGGAGCTTTCCACAGAGCTTAGTGAATGAGGTGAAGCTCTGCTGACTTCCATTATCCAATCTTATGCAAGCAAATATGCTCTTTTTTATGATAGTGCCCTCTAGGCTAGGCAGGGTTTTGAGTCAGCAAGGTCACTTAAGGTTAGGCTGGGAGGCCTCCCATTCTTCTAGAAACTTCTGGCACTTTCTAGAAGAAGGGCAGAGGAGGGGAAGAGGCCTAGATTTGCATGTTTGTGGGAACCTGGCCAATCCCCAGGCAAGAGGCCTGGCATGGTGGCTATGACAACCCTTGATTGTGAAAGAGCCTGATCAGCAAGAGGAGTTGAAGTCAAGTGGAAGATGGAGTGAGGATAGAGCTGCTGGAATGGAGCATGGGAGGGACCCCAGAGGAGGGGCCTGCCTACAGGCTGAAGCTACAGGATTAAGCTACAGGAGCAGGACAGTGTGAGTACTTCTACACCCCCTGGGCCAAAGAAGGATGAGGGCAGTCAGGTCTAATACCAAACTAGTTCTCCCTGGGACTACTTTATCTGTAGATCTTGGAATCCCTTGCTCCGGGATACTCTCAAGACAGCCAGGTGGAGAAGGAAAGTTTAATCTGGGGTCTTAGAATGTTCATTAAGGAGACTAAGTGCACCTTGAAAAGATTGTGTGCTGATTTTCGTTCTTTTTGCTAAGAAGTTTGTCCTCCAAAAGTTGTACAGTTCCATTGGGCATCCCATATACCCCTAGACCCCATCCAAGTTATTAATCTCTAATAAAACAAAAAACCAAGCTCAAGGACTGTTTTACAAACTTTGGAAAAAAGTGCGCAAAATGCGTGTTGCCTGGCTGTGCAGAACCTAGGGGGGACCCAAAAAAACTCAGCGGCCCTTGAGTTTGCTTATGATTGGGTATACTTTGCAAAGCGAACTTTTACCAAATCCAATAAGCTCTGGGCAAAATTCTCTTGAAAAGTGATACTTCCTTTGCAAAGTGACCTGTTTTCCTTTACTAAATCAACCTCACTTTGTTCACTACAAATGTCTTTCTTTTATTCCAAATTAGCACAGGACACAAGTGAAATGTATTAGTAAACTACTAATGCTATCAAAAAATATTGCAACTATGTTGAAAAAAGGAGGGGTAAATTGGGTGAGTTTTCAGAGAGTGCCACATATGTGGCATAGAAAGGTTTGATTCCTGAAGCCTGTGATGCATCATTACCTTTCTCTACCCATTTTTAATTAATCGGATTCAAACTTCCGAGGCACTTCTGAACGTGATTTTTGGTTATGGAGAATTTCTTAATACTGACATTCTAACACATGTTCCATATGTTAAAGGTAACAAAAAACCTACTGTAGTTTTGTTTCAAAATCCTGTCCAGTGTTTCAGGCAAGTAAGCAAAAGGTGTTCTCAGATCACAGACAAAAGGTAAATTAAGGTGAACATGGGGTAAACTAGTTCCCTATGGTAATATTTGGGAAAAAAATGGGATGTGAATACATCCCAAGGCTTTATTTTCCATTGTGGCCAGAGCTGTACAATATAATAAAGGAACAGGGAACATACAGCATTTGACTGCTTTTATGTTTATGGGAAGTTTATATATACAGCAGGTGTTTAAACAGATGGTTTAATGGAGCTGAGCCAAGGGCTGTAACAAGCAATGTTAGGACTTTAGAGTTATCTATACATTGAAATCCACCAAGGAGAACAATGTTAGAATAATGACACTGTGTAGTTCAATGAAAGCATTGTTAAATTTAAAGGGAAAGTATAGTGCATTTTAAACATGCATATGCTTTGGGGCCCAGTTATCATTTATACCTATCATTTTTTTTACACCCAAGATTCACACAACTTTCGCCCAAAATAAAACACTGATAAATATATACTTTTGGGTAATGAATATTTAACAAAGTCGTTTTTTATTTGACTCACATTTTTACATCTATGCTTTTCCATATTTTTTATTATATTAAATCTACAGAGGTTTCATTTTCCCACTACAACCAATGAAGAGTATCTAATATGACTCTACATAACTGTGAAAAAAAAAGCGTATAAAACTGTGTCTAAAGCTCACACTTCTTTTTAGCTCTGGCTAGAGTAGGGAAAACCTAGAACTGATGTTGGGCTTTTATTGTTGTCTGTTTCCTCAGTAGGGAGCAGGGGCGGACTGACCATTTGGAAACTCGGGCACTGCCCGAGGGCCCGAGGTCAGTAAGGGGCCCCATGAAATGCCCCTGGTACCTTTTTTATAGGCTTTTTTGAGTGTGGCAAGGACACAGTGGCCCCATGATCCCCTATTGCCTGGGGGCCCCATGAGTTGTCAGTCCGCCCCTGGTAGGGAGGTCCATCTTCTTTGTGTGTTTAGGTGAACAGTGTCCCCAAGTGTCATGGTAAGGGGTCAGGCTGTGAGACCAGAAGCTCTAGCAGTAGAGAGACTCCCACCAAACAGCGTGATAAGTATACCAGTAGGTCACCCTGGTGGATGACCCGAGAGGTCTAAGTACTAACTGGTATTCATCAGAGCTCCTTATGGTGAATATGGGTTTTGCTGTGTGTTAATTCCAGGTCACGGTCCTCAGGATCACTCCACCAGGAAGTGAGCAAGCCGGGCTCTGGTAGTGAACATAGCAGGTAGAGATCAACTAAAAGCTAAAGGTTGTGATCAAGCAGAAGTGTAGTCAAGGAACAAGCAAAAGACAGTAACAAGTGGTAGTAAAGATACGGATAGCAGCAGGAGTGACAAGAGTGTGAGATTGGCTGGAGAGAACACAATCTGGCAAACAGGACGTGAAAAAGCATGGCTTTAATAGGAAGTTTATGGGAGGGGAAAAGGTTTCAAGCTTCAAGACGAACAAGATGAGAACAAAGGACGTCCAATCGGCTGCACCCCAAACAATCCACTTTATTGAACCAAGATAAAACCAATACAGACATTGGAAATACAGTGGGGGACTGGCAGATAAACCTGTTTCATGCTAAAGACAGCACATATTCATTAGCCACAGTATCACATGAGCAGATGATGAGTCAAAGGGAAAAGCCAGGTGCAGAGTTGAGAAGCAAGCCAAAGGTCAGGTACTGAAGAGATCAGGGGCGGACTGACAACTCATGGGGCCCCCGGGCAATAGGGGATCATGGGGCCCCTGTGTCCTTGCCCAAACTAAAAAAGCCAATGAAAAAGGTTCCAGGGGCATCTCATGGGGCCCCCTACTGACCCACGGGCCCTCGGGCAGTGCCCGAGTTTCCAAATGGTCAGTCTGCCCCTGGGAGAGATCAAGATCAGGCATAGACAGAAGGCAAACTGGGTATATAACAAGAACAAGCAGGGTCTGGTCATGGGTCAAAGGAGCTGACAAACACTCTGCAAAGATCTTGATTCCTGCAATTCTTTTGAATAGGCCACTGGGCCCCAAAATCAACTGAAACATGCATGTATGGCCCTGATTCTGTTCAAAATTCTGTGGACCATTCTGTGTGCAGTTCTCTAAGCACAAGCATGAACTCAGTTTTCCTGGGAGGAAGGCAGGGACTGAAATAACATAGCCATATGTTTGTAGAAAACACACAGAGCTTCAGGATAAAGGGAACAGTGAGCAGCCATGCCCGTGTTTCCTAACCAAGTGAGAACTCCACCAAAAGCATGCATCAATCAGCAGAACCTAATGACGTCCCTGATTTAAAGTATCAATTAATTTATATGTATATTTGTAAAATATCGTATTGTCTCGATATTTTATTAACTTGTATTGATGAGAAATGTTCAGATAGAAAGTCCTTCCACTTCTTGCATAAACTCAAAAAGATGATTTAATAATAATGTTGCATAAAATTAGAAATAAAATATTGGAATACAGAATGTTTAAATAATGTCCAAAAAATATAGTTAAGTTCTTGATAATAAGATTGTATATATGTATATGTGTGTGTGTGAGAGGTGTAACGCATCAAGGCTCCTAGCAAAGTGTGACCTTAAAAAGTCTTTGTTCTGCTCTTAAAAGAGCAATCCAGCCCCCACCATCTCCTAAAAATGGGCTGATCTTCTCTTGTGTTCCTTGTAGTCCCACCTAGATATTTGGAAACAGATGTGTATATATAACAAACCTCCAGTCTACTTCTCCTAAAGTCTGAGTGTAACCTAAGAAGGCCTAGACACTCCATCAATCAGAGTAAATTAGATGTATTACACACACACACACATATATATATATATATATATATATATATATATATATATATATTCTCCTAAAAATAAGAGTTATCTCATATATAAATATCGTAATCAAGAAATATTACAGTATAAACCTAACATGTATGAAATAGATTTTTACAATTCTCTAGTTAGTGAAACATAATCTCTTACATAGATGGGGGAGGATGGATAGACCAATTGCTACCACATGTGTGGCTTGAATGTAAAGAAAACCCAAGATATATGTTCATATATATATTCACAGACTATGAAGTCTAATTACTTACTTTTCCCAATCTAGAACAAATATAAATATAATAACTCAATTATTCTATTAAGATCCAACTCATTCATACATGTTAGTACTGTTAATAAGCAAATATTAGATATTGGGTTAAGGAAAGCTTCTAACAATATTATAGATAGTTTAGGGTTGATTGCTTGTGTATGCACATGTATGGCTAAATTTACTGGTTCCCTCTGTGACCTTTACCCTATTCAACATTTTACATCTTTAATCCAAGAAAAGCTACCCTTTACAGTTTATTTTGCATAAATGCCTATTATTCCTTGAAGGCTGCTGTACAACCAGATATTTAACCAAAGAAAAACAATTTGTAATTAGTAATTATGGCTGCCCCCATGTGTAAACATTATTACTATTATATATAAAGAAATACTTTGTTGTATTTCAAAGTGGTGTTAAACCCAAAAATGTATTATATTGCAGCTTACCAATTAGATATGGTGGCTACATCAGTTTTTTTTCCTTTGCTTTTTTCCCCTCTGTTTTCATCAGCTGATCTGACCAGTAACACACTTCATATATTAGTGAGACACCACTGTGGAAGAATGAGTACAGGGTACAGCAGACAGAAGCATTGTCATTGGGGGACGGGAGTATTAAATGTCTTAACAGATTTGAATACAATAACAAATTGAAGCCAAACTCCAGCTAACACTTTATAATCAGTTACAGTAAATAGTTTTTGTTCCTTTTGGAATAAAGGTTTTACATGAATAAATAAAAGCTAACCATTTTAATCATCCCTGCCAGCAGTAAATGGATGGTGTCATCACATAAACTGATACATTCTGCTGGAGAGCATAAGCTTCTGAAAAACAGCAGTTACTGGCTGAACCAACAGATGAAAATAGAAGAAAGAAAGTCTAAAAAAGAAAACTAATGCAGCAATTCACATCTAAAAATTAGAGGTGAGCACATTAGAGAATAAATGGTGGGACCCACTTGCATGACGGTGTGGATTGGTGTGGTGTGGATAAGACATTATCTGTTTATACATCAATATAATTTGGGAACTGTAAGCAATACGTGGAGTTATCTATGGACTAATTTATTTGTTTTATCACTTCTAATTTGGTGTATATATAATATATGTGAATATTGCATCTTGCACAATAAGGGAGCACTGCATAACACATACACTATCACTTTATTGCAGTGTGGGAACACATTTATATGTGTATTATTTATATATTTGCGTAAGCTGGATCAGAACATAACTTAAGTACACTTTTTAAAATTAAGTATAGTTTGTTGTAAGTGGTAGTGTTTAAGTTACACCAATTTTCACATCTATGACTTGGTTAGCTGCAATATAATAAATAAAATGTTTGATTTTGGGTTTAATACTGCTTTAAAACAATATTAATAAAAATATATGTTTATTTTTTTGATGCAGCCTCCTTATTTCAAACATTTATCTAAAATAATTGATATACTATACTTCATCCATAAAAATTGTAATGTTACCATTATTTTCTTAATTTTATCTCTAACTTACTATGAATACCCCTCTGTCAAACTGGGCTGTTGACTTTATACAGAAATCTAACAGGTCTTTTATGACAAGTGACTGGTATATTCAGACCCACTTTAGCTACAGAATTCATTTCCATCAACTTGGCTAACAGCCCAAGCCAATGATTTTCCAGTCAGTTTGTGGAGGTCCTGGAGTTAGTTAGCGTGACTAAACATCTGGATTAGTGTGAAACACTTCCTAAACGGGAGAGTCAAATAGGTTTCAATCCCTTGATAAGCCATTGCATCATATCTGAACTGTGACAAGTTATCCACAGCTTGAAAGTTAATCCTTTGTGACATTTTGACTGTTGGAATAGCTTTTACGCATAACAATTAATCACGGTGTCTTGTGAGTGCTTTATATATTGTCCACAGGAGATAGGAGCATGTCACAAATGACAAGAACATAAAACAGTAGTATAAAAGACGAACTATAAAAGCCACTAAAGACTATTGTAAACAATGTGCAGTGCATATTAATATATAGTGGCAATATATACAGTATATACACAGTGTATATACAGTGCATAAATGAGTACACCTATTTTGAAAAGTAAGTTTTTAATCAACATCTCGATGAACACAAGAACAATTTCCAAAAGTTTGACAAAACGGAGTTATATAGAACATTTGTTTAGCTCATTACATGAAAGTAAGGTTAATAATATAACTTAGATTACAAAATCTTCAGTTTTACTCAAATTAATTTATGCAAAAATTAATAAACCCCCCAACAACAAAAACTATTCCATCTAGTATTTTGTATGACCTCCATGATTTGTAAGGACAGTACCAAGTCTTCTAGGAATGGAATGAACAAGTTGGGGACAAGTTGGCGACATATTGCAACATCTATCTTTTTCCTATTCTTCAAGAATTACCTCTTTTAGAGGCTGGATGCTGGATGGAGAGTGATGCTCAACTTGTCTCTTCAGAATTCCCCATAGGTGTTCGATTGGGATCAGATCAGGAGACATACTTGGGCACTGAATCCCTTTCACCCTGTTCTTCTTCAGAAATGCAACAGTGGCCTTAGATGTGTGTTTTGGATCATTGTCATGTTGGAAAAGCGCACAAAGACCAAGGGCAAGGAGTGATGGTAGCATCTTCTCTTTCAATATAGAGAAGTACATCTGTGAATTCATGATACCATCAATGAAATGCAGCTCCCCGACACCAGCAGCATTCAAGCAGCCCCACAGAAGGACACTACCACAGTTTTTAAGCCATCAGTTCCAAAACATTTATCTTGGTCTCATCACTCCAGAGTCTTCTTTTTCAACGTAGGCCCTGGAAAATTCTAGGTGGGATTTTCTGTGCATGGGCTTTAGGAGAGGCTTTCTTCATGGAAGACATCCATGCATGCCATTCCTCTGCAGTGTACGCCGTATTGTGTCACGGGAAACAGTTACTCCAGTTTTGTTTTATACTTCTTTAGCTAACTGCAGTGGACTTGCATGGCAATTTATTTCAAGCCTTCTCATCAGAAGACGTTTCTGACGATGTGTTAACTTCTTTGGACGGTCTGGACGTCTCTGTGAGATGGTTGCATTTCCATCTTTTTCAAATTTTTGTATCACTTTTCCTACAGTTTTCTGACTGCTAAGTAAAGCTTAGCTGATTTTCTTATAGCCTTCACCTTTCTTGTGTAAAGCAATTATTTTCTTTCTCAGGCCTTGTGACATGTGATGCCATTGCTGACAGCATGAAATGAGAAGGTATTTTCTTTGTTAGGTAACACCCTTTTATAATAAACTGTCTGCTGGTACTTGTTTTATAAATAATTAGACTCACCTGTAGTTGAATTCTTGGTGATTAGGATTTTGCTGTCTAAAATTTAGCTTTGCTCCTAAGAATTTCATTATTTTAGAAATACTTTTTTGTGTGTGCAGATTAACAAATCTTGTTTGCAAACAATGACCCTTGTTTGTGGGAGTATTTTGTAGTATAGTGTCCCATAAAAAAAATTGATCCTGAAAGGTTTTCTGACAAATCTGTTGGGGTGTGCTCATTTATGCTGAACACTGTGTATATATATATATATATATATATATATATATACACACAAAATGTGTGTGCTCTGCATATTTTTTTGCAATAAGTCCTTTGTAGCTTTTATACGTATTTTGTTTGCTGTTTTACGTATAATGGCATGAGAAAATTACTGTCATGCTAATCTCGATTAAAGGTTTGAATTGCCTGTACTTTTTTGCAGTGAGGGAGAGGAACATGACATAAGTTACCTGCCCCTCCATCTCAACCAATCATGCATATTCATTTAGAGAATGCAAAGCTTCCTCTAAATAGCTGAGCAGTCGGAAGTCAGGAAGTCCCCATCTTGCCGCTAGAACACAGTGCTGTATACTGTATGTTGCTAATGCATATACAGTTTATACAGCACTGACAGCAATCACACCTCTTGATGAAGAAAATAGTCCATTTGGACAAGCTTGGTCCAAATGAACTATTTAAAGTGAAACTTTACCCATAAAAGCTTGATACCAATTAATCTTCTTTAACAAAAAGACATTCAGTTTATTCCACATTAATAATTATGCTACCAAAATTAGTGTGTGCTGTAAATTGCTTCCAGCATTGCTCCTGTTGCCATTTTGTTGAAGCCCAAAACAGTTACTTCCTTATTGGAAACTCTTTCCTTGGTCTCAAAAACTATATGTTGCTTTCTTCAATTAAAATATGTACAGTTGTGTTCAAAATAATAGCATTCAGACATCAATAACCTGATCAATCACTGTTTTTGGTAGAAATGATATTTCTTCATGACAAATAATTTACTAGCAGGTGTAGTAGAGTAATAGAAATCCAACAGACCCAACAGTCATGATATGCATGCTGCTGATTCTGTGTAATTGAATCACTAATTGAAAGGGGCATGTTCAAAATAATAGCAGTGTGGAGTTCTATTAGTGAGGTCATTCATTCTTTGAAAAACAGGTGGCAATTATTGCCCTTATTTAAGGAAGGAAGGCAGCAAATGTTGTACATGCTGGTTACAGTGCATTTCTCTCTGAAATTCTGAGGAAAATGGGTCATTCCAGACATTGTTTAGAAGAACAGCGTACCTTGATTAAAAAGTTGATTGGAGAGGGGAAAAACATATATAAGAAGTGCAGAAAATGATAGGCTGCTCAGCTAAAATGATCGCAAATGCTTTAAAATGGCAACCAAAACCTGAAAGACGTGGAAGAAAGCGAAAAACTACCATTCGAATGGGTAGAAGAATAGACAAAATGGCAAGGACTCAGCCAACAATCAGCTCCAGGAAGATCAAAGAAGGTGTAAAGTTACCTGTGAGTACTGTTACAAATAGAAGGACGCCTATGTGAAGCCAAGCTATCTGCAAGAAGCCCCCGCAAAGTCCCACTGTTGAAAAAAAGACGTGCTGAAGAGGTTACAATTTGCCAAAGAGCACATTGACTAGCCTAAAGAGAAATGGCGCAACATTTTGTGGACTGATGAAAGTAAGATTGTTCTTTTTGGGTCTAGTGGCCGGAGACAGTTTGTCAGATGACCCCCAAACACTGAATTCAAGCCACAGTACACTGTGAAGACAGTGAAGCATGGTTGCGCAAGCATCATGATATGGGGATGTTTCTCATACTACGGTGTTGGGCCTATTTATCGCATACCAGGGATCATGGATCAGTTTGAATACATCAGAATACTTGAAGAGGTCATGCTGCCTTATGCTGAAGAAGAAATGCCCTTGAAATGGGTGTTCCAACAAGACAACGACACCAAACACACCAGTAAACATGCAACATCTTGGTTCCAGACCAACAAGATTGACGTTATGGAGCGGCCAGCCCAATCCCCGGATCTTAATCCAATAGAAAACTTGTGGGGTGACATCAAAAATGCAGTTTTTGAGGCAAAACCAAGAAATAGAGAAGAACTGTGGAATGTAGTCCAATCATCCTGGGCTGGAATACCTGTTCACAGGGGCCAGAAGTTGGTTGACTCCATGCAACACAGATGTACAGCAGTTCTCAGAAACAGTGCTTATACAACTAAATATTAATTAAGTGATTCAAAGGAAAGCAAAATCTTCAAACATTTTTCAGTTTATATAGTGAATGTTTGAGTTTGTAAAGAAGAATACAAACACTGCTATTTTTTTTGAACAGTCTAATATTCACTTTTCTTCAATTTTTTTTAGAGGAACAACACAAATTTGATATATTTTTCTTCATGTTTTGATTTGGAATAGAATGTGTCGTGTTCCCAATGCATTTGTGTGTATGGAAATAAACGCTATTAGAAGGATTTTGAGCTTTATTCACTTTTTTAAACACACTGCTATTATTTTGAACACAACTGTACATTCCCAGCCTGTCATATGTCTTGTCTCAGTTAGAGATGTAGGCTGACAGAAGCTTTACAGTTTTCAAGTTCACAGGCTGCTGATGAGGGAGAAAAGAGAGAATGTCAGGGATGCTACCCTTGTAAGGTTAACTCTGTGTCAGGGGCGGACTGACCATTCGAGCACTCGGGCACTGCCCGAGGGCCCGGGGTCAGTAGGGGGCCCCATGAAATGCCCCTGGTACCTTTTTTATAGGCTTTTTTGAGTGTGGCAAGGACACAGGGCCCCATGATCCCCTATTACCCCGGGGGCCCCATGAGTTGTCAGTCCGCCCCTGCTCTGTGTCTACCCTGGCAGCAGAGTTGGGCCTGTTACCTCTTCTGCTATTCTTTTCTCCTTTCCCAATCTGTGTTCCCTCAGCACAGCCTGTGTCATTCCTGTTGCTTTCTTTCCCCTTCAGCAACAGTAAATGTTAAAGCTGTCAGCAGATTGGCCTCTAGTGGCTCTGATTTTAGGCATAGTGCTGAGAACAGAGAGCAATGGAGGCTGTGCAGAGCAGGGTGAGACCCTGCATTACTGGATTTTAAACAGTAAGGACTTATTTTTAATGTTTTAGAAAGCTATACCATACCTGCAAAAGGGGCCAGCCTAAAGTGATCCATCAGGACTTAATTTCCTGACTATAGTTCCACTTTAAGGCCCTGTTCATCTAAGCGTAGCAGAAACATGCATTTCTGCCTGTGTTTCTGTAAATGTGCAAAAAACGCAATGTGCTTGCGGTGCTATTATTTCTTAACGGCACTCCAAATGTAGTTAACAGTTGCACATCTTTTCATGCATTTTCCATGTGACAAAAAACACAAAAATGTACTTCACAAAATGTGCTTGGTTCAGTGACGAAATCTGGTACATGAGCTTTGTTGACATGTTTTTGGAGCGGAAGGAGGCCATTCAATTGAACGGTGCTCAAACCAAATGCAAACGTGTCACGCTCCGCTAATGTATTTAAAATTAAATGTAAAATATGCACAAAAATATATACATATATACATAAATTATAAATTTTAAGTAATTTTAAATACATCAGTGAAACTTGTTGCAATCCTACTAAGCTAATTTTAAAAACAATCTGTGACAGTTGGGTGTGTCCCACTAATGTGAAAAAAAAGTCCACTAACTTGTGTGCTCCTTCACCAGTGTGCACTCAACTGACATATATGACCAAACCGTTAAGTGAGGTCAAAAAAACAGCTTGTGTCCCTGTAAATTGACTCAGAGATGAATGGATATATGTATCCTTGTCCCAGATGGATCCATGGATGAATGGAGTTTTCCTTTTTTTCCAGCAGGGGGTCTCGCTGTTTCCTAGAGACCTATTTCCTGGAGTCAGATGGATGATGAAATTATCCCTCTTTCCTCTAGGACAGGGGCAGGCAACCTGCGGCTCTCCAGCTGTTGCAGGACTACAAGTTCTATCATGCCTCTGCAAGTCATAGCTGTAACTGTCAGTTTTGGAATGTTGCAATACCTCATGGGAAATGTAGTTCCACAACAGCTAGAGAGCCGCAGGTTGCCTACCCCTGCTCTAGGGGTCTCTTCACTCCTTTCGGATTTATCTCTCCATATGCATAATTGCCATGTAATTAAAGAGTAAAATATGGTGCCTTATCTTCTTTAAAAAGTATTTATTAAGCAAAATATAGTGCACTCACATAATATAAATAATAAAATCGCTTTTGTTTGCAATAATACAGGATCCTCAATGTGTTTGCCACACTCCAAATACTTGATGCGTATTTTACTTTAAGCGTCTTGGCATCAGAGTCACTCCCTTACATGTTACGCCACCGGGTCATGTGGCTTCATCAGGGGGAAATGATTGGACGACACAATGCTCATTGATTTATATAGGAACTACGGATGCCATTTTCTGGTGGTCCGCATGGCGGTGGCCATATTTCTGGGGCCCAAATTCCTGTTATATTGATCAGAGTTTACCTAATCATCGTACAGTCTGTACGATCAGATCCATCAAGGAAGAGTGATGGATCGTGCTAGTATCGCTCATTACATCACTTTGCTCCCTCCATAATATAAGTGTGGGGAATATCAATCTATTCAGATACTCTGGATTTATATGGATATACAATTATATTTTTGGGCCCAATCCAGTTTTCATTATTATTTAAAGGACTATCTGGGCATGCTTTGTGCTTGTAATCCACATAGAAGGATTATTTATATAATCAAATTGCAATTAAAAAACATTAATACAATAAAATAAATGACACCCTAACTACTACTATTATCATATTCCTATTAAAATTCTAAATATTCTAAATATAAAAACACCTTATAATTAATAGTTCCTCTGCCTAGAGGTGGATGACCATATCTACTACCACTGCTGAATAAATGTGTATTTCTTTATTTTCTTATAAATGCTATTATATATAATAAATTAATTACTCTTAAAGAATATAATATTAATTAAAAATATAAGTAAACATGTATTTTAATAGTTACTAATGAAACACGAAAGGTCAAATTCTTTATTGAGGCCCATTGGAGCTCACAAATCCATCTGGATTCTTCTTTACTTAATTCTCTGATTTTATTGCCACCTCTCCAATGACTGGTGTGTTTTTCAATTCTCCAAAATTGCAGAACATTGGCGTCCTTATTATGAAACGGGTACATCAAAATTCTCATTTCCTTGTGGTTTATCAATTAACATAATACTTCTACCTGCTGGAAAAAAGGGAAATATTCCATTCATCCATCCATCTGGGACAGGGATACATATATCCAGTTATCTGAGTCCATTTAAAGGGACACAAGCTGTTTTTGACCTCACTTAACAGTTTGGTCATATATGTCAGTTGAGCGCACACTGGTGAAGGAGCACACTAGTTAAAGATTTGTGGATTTTTTTCATATTTCTCATTAGTGGAAGACACACCAAACGTCACAGATTGTTTTGAAATAAGCACGCAGCATTAGTAGGATTGTAACACTAAAGTTGGACTCACTTATGTAATTTAAAATTATATTTATTAATTTATTTAATTTATGAATATATTCTTTTGTGCATATTTCACATTTAATTTTAATGTTATTAGTGGAGCGCGACACATTTGCATTTGTTTTGATTTTAGTGACACACTTGTATGAGTATGTACAGGTGAGACTCGAAAAATTAGAGTAGCGTGCAAAAGTTCATTCATTTCAGTAATGCAACTTAAAAGGTGAAGCTAATATATGAGATAGACTCATTACATGCCAAGCAAGATAGTTCAAGCCGTGATTTGTCATAATTGTGATGATTATGGCTTACAGCTCATGAAAACCCCAAATCCACAATCTCAGAAAATTAGAATATTACATGCAATCAATAAAACAAGGATTGTACATAGAACAATATCGGACCTCTGAAAAGTATAAGCATTCATATGTACTCAGTACTTGGTTTGGGCCCATTTTGCAGCAATTACTACCTCAATGCGGCGTGGCATGGAAGCTATCAGCCTGTGGCACTGCTGAGGTGTTATGGAAGACCAGGATGCTTCAATAGCGGCCTTCAGCTCTTCTGCATTGTTCGGTCTCATGTCTCTCATCTTTCTCTTGGCAATGCCCCATAGAATCGCTATGGGGTTCAGGTCAGGCGAGTTTGCTGGCCAATCAAGCACAGTAATCCCACGGTCATTGAACCAGGTTTTGGTGCTTTTGGCAGTGTGGGCAGGTGCCAAGTCCTGCTGGAAAATGAAGTCAGCATCCCCATAAAGCTAGTCTGCAGAGGGAAGCATGAAGTGCTCCAAAATCTCCTGGTAGGAGGCTGCGTTGACCCTGGACTTAATGAAGCACAGTGGACCAACACTTGCAGATGACATGGCTCCCCAAATCAACACAGACTGTGAAAACTTCACACTGGACTTCAAGCATCTTGCAGTGTGTGCCTCTCCATTCTTCCTCCATACTCTGGGTCCTTGGTTTCCAAATGAGATGCAAAAGTTGCTTTCATCAGAAAAGAGGACTTTAGACCACTGAGCAACAGACCAGGTCTGTTTTTCTTTAGCCCAGGTAAGACGCTTCTGATGTTGTTTGTTGTTCAGGAGCGGCTTGACAAGAGGAATACGACATTTGAAGCCCATGTCCAGGATCCCTCTGTGTGTGGTGGCTCTTGATGCACTGACTCCAGCCTCAGTCCACTCCTTGTGAAAGTCCCCAACACTTTTGAATGGCCTTTTCCTGACAATCCTCTCCAGGCTGCGGTCATCCCTGCTGCTTGTGCATCTTTTTCTTCCACAATTTTCCCTTCCACATAACTTTCTATTAATGTGCTTTGATACAGCACTTTGGGAACATCCAACTTCTTTTGCAATTACCTTTTGAGGCTTTCCCTCCTTATGGAGGGTGTCAATGATGGTTTTCTGCACAACTGTCAGGTCAGCAGTGTTTCCCATGATTGTGATTCCTACTGAACCAGACTGAGAGACCATTTAAAGGCTAAGGAACCCTTTGCAGGTGTTATGGCTTAATTAACTGATTAGAGTGGGACACTTTGAGCCGGGAATATTGCACCTTTTCACAATATTCTAATTTTCTGAGATCTCATATATTAGTTTCACCTTTTAAGTTGCATTACTGAGATAAATGAACTTTTGCATGATATTCTAATTTTTTTAGCTTCACCTGTATATGGTGTAGGCGACCCACTCACTTATTTGCTTAATTAGTATTTATTTAAATTATACACACACACACAAACACACACACGAGTATAATAATTTTTGCACATATTTCACATATATATATTTTATTTTTTTTTACCCACTTTATAAAAGACATGTATGTATAAAATATACCATAGCAGCTCACAAGAATCACATTTTTTTAAATTTTGTACAATTGAATGGTGCTGCTCCAAAAATGTGCAAAAAATGCAATGCAGGAGCATCTCTCAGATGTGAACAGTGCCTAAAGTTCAATTAAACCTGGAGTTAGGCTTGAACTTTAAATGTCAATTATATTTATGCAGGAATGCTATGTTAAGACTGCAACATTCTGAAATTGTCAAAGTTCCTATTCATAAAACCACAATGCCAAAAGTGCACAAAGTGAAAGTCTACTTGCTGCATTGATGTACGTACTCACAGGAGGAGGGAACAGCAGCAGGTAAAACAACAATATGCAATCAAACTAGTACAAGCATATGAATAAAAACAAAAGAAGACAATACATTTGTCAAAATCAAAAAGCAAACAGGCATATAATTATAACAGACATACAGAGATTATATAAAAACTCAGCTAAGCAC